GTTAGGACCAGAGAAGTCTTTCCATAGCTCACACTGTGGCAGACTGCATGGAGATAAGGCCTGGATTAATATTGTGTTGGTCATAAGGAAACTATTAAGAGCAACAGCAGCAGTGTGGGTCAGACCATGTTTTCCAGAGGTGTGGTGAGAAAGTGTTTGCCGGGCGAATGCTGAGTGTGAACAGAGAGAGTGCACCTGTTGGTGTAGTGAGCCCAGCAGGATTTGGTTACAACCTGGCAACCCGCCATCAGAGCGTGTTTACCGTGAACCTCCAGTTCATATTGATAACAAAGTGGTCTGTCTACAACTCGATGAGGGAGTGTAGCCCACCTGCAAATCGTGCTACTGCTGGAGGAGCCTCAGGATGAGGAGCTTACACTGTTAGTCCATGAGAAAACGAATGTCAACTGCTTAAATGCATGAGTCAAGAGTCAAGACAGCGAGAATTTCATCAGTGATTAATGGATGAAAGTGTCAGTTACACATGCCTTAAGTAAACAGCTCTTCAAGAGGGACTCTGTTACACATGTTAAAATCAATGAGGCACACATGTAAATGCAGCGCGTGCTCTTGTAAATGACAGTGGGCCATTATATCATGTTAAAAAGAACGACTCCTCAGGGGCACAAAGTCACTGGGAAATTTCCAAAACTAACAAGCAAAAAAACAAACAGGACAACAAGCAGCTCTGTGTCCATATGCACCCCTAAGTCCAACATCATCCATCAAGGCTGAATAAAACAACTACTAACAACACTACTCCTTGGAGAACTGTCTGTTGTACTACTCCTACTACTTGCGTAATACTGCATTTATGCACATAGTAATAAAAAAGCAACCACTTTTTTATGCTATATTAAAGAATATCTCTTTTGCATCCACACTGCTAAGAATAATCACTTCCATTGACTATTGTTTTTAAACGATTTTGCATTCTGCTCGATTCCTCAGAGCACTCTGATAAATTATAGGAGGGGGTTGATGTGCTGAAGGTAAAAGAAACAGAAAGGATGTGACAGATTATGGAGAAAATCAGAGCATACAAAAACAAGCTTGTATGGGGCAGCTACGTGGCCTCCCTACAGCTGAGAAGAACAGAGGCGTTTTGGTCTTGTGGGGCACCGCCGCCTCTTTCATGGACATTGAAGCACAGTGTGATGGTTGGGCTGAACTATGATACTCCTGTCAAAAAGAACATTAATTTTTCCCACAATAAGGGCCTGATGGACTAGCCACATGTGCCATGTGGACGAGGGTGAAAGGGTAAGGAGGGGGCCAGCAGGAGGGGGGTCGGGGGGGAGACACATTCACAGAATAGAGATGGAGGGGAAACAAATCTCAAGCATAATCAAATTCACACATGGCTTGTACCACATTAACTTTGGTATTAATATAATAGATAGCATAGATTTTAATAATCATAGTAATAAAGAGCTGCCATTAGAACAAAACATCTCCAGAATGGAAACCTTTCAGGATTTTTTTCAAAAAAATAAAAAACAATGCCCTAACTTGGAGTCATCGTGAACATTTCTTTTGGTCTATTTGTTGTGAATTTTTCAGACAATTTTTACACAGTGATTTATATCGCTGCTGTCAGAATAAAGCGTTGTATCTCCAAAATGATAACTTTACAGGAGAAGGAAAAAACCTACTTTACTTTTAATGTAAGTCAATGCAACTTTTTCAAAGTCATTTTTTCTTTTAGTCCATTCATCATAAAACCTACACACAATGTAAAGGGCAACTGGCATTTTTAAATTATGTCAAAAATTGAAAAATGGAGATACGAGGTTTTGTTCCAACAGCAGTGACATATTGCTTTATATATCCTCTGCTTTAGTGACAGCATGCTGGCATAGACTCCACAAGTTTGTGCAAATGCCTCTAATGGGTAGATCAAATCCACCCGAGAGTATCTAAACCCTCCAACTGAGGGGATAAGACTGAGCATTCTGTACAAAGGCTCTAACACTGTCACAAATTTGCTCAAATTTAAACAGAGACCAAAAAATAATGCAATATAATTTGTTTTAAAGTTTTCAAAATTATGTTTTCAGTTTAAATAAAAAAAACACTGTGGTTTTAGACATTTGGACCCCTTTGTATATATATATATATATATATATATATATATATATATGATATGACAAATGACATTTTCTTATAAATAGAGACAGAGAACACACAAATATTTTTGAAGTGCATTATTTTTATTTTTTGTAACATATTAGGTAAAACTAATTAATTATAAAACCTATTAAATGTGCCTTAAAGCTCCAGATTTTGTTTTTCGTTAACAAATTAACAGTATTTGCACATTAAAATGAGCAGAAGTGCGTTCTCTGTAGAGAACGTGTACCTATTTTCTATTAGAAAATCAACAAAACAAATTGTTTGACCTGGGGCGCACATTTTTTGAATATGACTATAAAATGGGATTGTGAGGTCTGACAAAGATTACAGATACAGACACATGGGTATTAAATCTATAACTACATTTTTTTCTATATATTTAGTGTGATAACAGCATATTGTGGAAAAAAATTACCTTCCAAAAATATTATCTATTATAAATGTAATATTTTAAAGCTAAATAATCTTTTATTATCTCTTTGATGAAAAAAAGGAATGTTGTAGTATAAAATAATAAACAGATAAAAAAAAAATGAGGGCTCTTTTTAATAGAAAAATAAGCCTATTCGTATTGAGTGTGGCTTGAATAGGCAGAATGGTAATCCGTAGTGTAAAACAGGGAAGGTTATTTTATCTTTTTTCCCCTTATATGGTGTGAGGAAGGAGTCATTTCCACAGCGGGCTGGGAACAGTCACATTAATAAAAAAGCCCGCCATGTTCCTGATATTTATGCAGGTTTGCAGCGAGAGCATTAGGCCTTAAAGCCCCTCCACTATGATTAACAATCAAACATGCTGAGAAATGCCTGTGTTATCCCCCAACTCTCCACTACAAGAGAAAATCTCTTTTTTGTCATCAAATCCCTAATTCTTTCTTCTCCACGGAAAAAGAGTAATACCAGTTTCCAATCTGCTTTAAGAAATTTTTTAGGGGGTTGGGGGGGAAGAGGCACTAAAACGTGTGTGAACGAGGGGGTAATTGCGGACAAACGCGGCATTGAATTTTATTTTCAACTCCTTATACACCATTTCAATCTTATTTTATGCTTGTTAGTCAGATCTTGTAGCTTATGGTGGGCAGAACTGCCCAGCGTTGGTGCGTAATTGCTTATAATTTACTCCTCACTAGTGACTGGCATCAATATTAGCTATTCTTCTCACACAGGAATCAACCCCAACCAGAAAGACTCATTTTAAACGCTCGTTGTTTGAGGAAGAAGGAGGGCAGATCATACAAAATCCCTTCTCATGCAGAGCCACACACATTGACAAATGCAGATTTTAGATAGCACATTGTTTTAGGCAGAATGCAAGAGATTTAAATATGTACATGTATTGGGTTCACACATGCAGTACTGTGCAAAAGTCAGAGACCACCCTCCATTTATGTAATTTTCAGTCAAAATGGCTATTAAGTGCAAGTTATTTGGTTTACAGAAGGTATTTCTAAGAAGATCCACTTGCAGAAGGAATAGGAAAGTCAAAGTGAAAAATTATTTATAAGATATAGTACAAAAAAGAGACTCTTAACAACTGAACTGATCGACCACCAGAACTGTTACTTTCAGTACTTAAACAGTACTTCAAGCTTTCATTTTTGAGAAATGGGAGAAAAACAAGTTCCACTTGTGCTTCAGATCTTAAAAAATCCACAGGTATTTGTGTCCATCCTTCCACTGTGAGAAGACAACTCAATGCAATGGTTCTGAAAGGATGTGTAGCTGTTAAGAAACTGTTACTGAAAAAAGGAAATAGACAAAAAAGAAGAAAATTTGCAAATTAATCAAAGAAGCTGCTGCTGTTCTGAGAACAATTAACTGCCCATCCAGTCCAGACCTCAACATCACTGAATGTGTTTGGGATCACTTGGATCATGAGATGCACAAAATGCAACTAACTTCAAAGACTGAACTTTGGAGGTGTGGAAAAATATCCCTGCAGATTTATTTGAAGAACTGAAAGCAAGTCCCCTGAAAAGAATGGAAGCTGTAATAAAGACAAAGTGCAGAAACTAAAAACAGAAACATTTTATATTATATCTAATTGTTATTCTGTGTAATTTTCTGTTAAACATATATTTTCCATTTTCTCTGACACTGAAAATTAGTAACTTTTGCTAGGAAATTCAAGAATTGAAGGGTGTTTGCTGACTTTTGCACATTACTATAGAAACTCAAATCACAGCTGACCAGTGGATGGACCATGACGCTCCTGAAAGACTATGCCATCTACAAACAGGCCCCAGCCTTTGGCCTACGCTCAACTCACCAGCTCAACTCGCTGCGCTAAACACAGTCACACAATACTTGCCAACTGCTGATTAGTTTGTTACACTTAATTAAAGCATCTTGACTTTCTTAAACATACATTAACTCCAGAAAATTACTTGCAGACAATTAGATGAATAGGCTAATTAGTTTGGTGTGATTATTTCCTTTCTCTCTGAGCCACAGTGCTGCTGAATCTTCCCCCTGCTTTCATTATAGAGTGCAGGATTTGTTCTCTGCAGGGTATCCATTATTGTTTCAAACTGGAGCTCTAATGTCTTTTGAATCAAACTATTATTACTTGTTTTAATTAGGAGAGTGAGTGAAACAGAGGAATATTAATTACAAAACATTATCTTCAAAAACACCTCAGCGGCACAAGAGGATATCCACTATTTAAAGACAAATTCTTTAAAAAGAACTTCTAAGTCTGCTTCACACCCGAGAGACGCACTTAATCGCGGAGCAGACATGGCAGCAAACAAAGCGCATGCCCTTTTATCTGCACAGAGGTCTCGTAATTCCACTTGAGAGACTCCTTGACGTCTAGCTATAGAGAGGAATATTTACACACTTTGGTCGATGACCCATACTAACCTGCGGAGAGAGCCCATTGTTGACCGGGTTCATGGGGTTGCTGGATGCGGACTGGCTCATGAAGGTGTCAGTGTAGCTGGAAAAGCCGTGGCGGTTGGATGAGAGGCCGTAGGCGGAGCTGCTGTCGCTCGAGAGGCCGCCCTGGTGCATGGTGGAGGGGGGCAAAGGCTGCGGCCGGTGCACTGTGCTACTGCCATCTGCAGAGAACAGTTAGAGTAAGAAATGTGCTCATGTCTAAATGCTGTTACCACAAGTGATTCGTTATGAAGTTATTAACAGGGCTTAGATGATTATAAAATGCAACTGAGTGAGAACTTTTACATTTGTTTGCTGGTTTTATCTGCTAAAAAGGCAATTCTGCACCTACAGTTCACTCCAAGCCTTACTGAAAATGTGCTTATAGTGATATAGGATAGGCAATTTATTGCTATTATTATTTTCTTTATTATGACCTACTGGTTTGTCTAAATGCATTTGTGTCCATTATTGTTAAAAAGATGTTGGAATCAAAAAAATAACTAAATGCTGTCATATTTGCATCAAATTAATTAAACTGATACACAATTTGTAGAGAGCTTCAGGAAAATTAGTAAAACACAGGTGTAAAATATTACATCATCACATTAAGGGTGATTGATTTGTGAGATGGGGGGGTGGACATACCCTGTGATAGTGTGGTGGAGGGGTAGGTGGGTTCTGGGAGCTGGTATGTGGGCAGAGTGGGCATGCCTGTTGCTGGAAAGCCTCCTGGTAACAGGTGGTTGAAGGCTGCAAGCTGATTGGCTCCAGCTTGCTTGCGCCACCTGGCTCGTCGATTACTGAACCACACCTGCAGACGAGAAAAGCATGATGATCGTACAGCATTACAAAAAGTAAAACAAGGGAGAGAATTAAATAAAAGTAGTAGTAATAATAATAATAATAATAATAATTAACACTTACAGTAAAACAACGCTTATAAAGGGTTTAAGAATGGATTAATTCTCAAATGCTTTCTAAGTGTTGTCTTATTGTAAGTGTTAATTATTATTATTAATATTATTATTAATAAGTTATAAAATTGTTATTTTATAACTGTTAATAAACAAATTAAAATGTGTTTATTAACAATCATGAAATACATCATAAAAAACTAAAACACACCACAAAAAAATTTAATAAGCAGTTATAACACGTAAATAAAAAGTGACCTGTTTTATATGATGAACATGGATATTTGATGAAGCTGACAGGTATAATGCTGAATAATGCAGAAGACATTTTGCTTCAGAAGGTCAGAAAAATCTGAGCTTTAACCCCTTAAAATCCCAGGCTAATTACATAATAAAGCTTATTATTCAGTAACTACAGGGACTTCAGTGCAAACTGCTTAAGCTATTCTTAGGTTACAGAAGTGTGTAATAAAACTTTGGGCCTGCCGGTCAGCCCTGGCCGGCAGAGGTTAACAGTATAAATGAATGTGAGCTCACTTCGTATTTATGTGTTATAACTGTTTATTAATGAATTTTAAGGTGTTTATGACCTACATAATCATCGTTAATAATTTTTTGTTGAACCAGTCATGAACACTATCAGGGTAGTCTTACTGCCAAGTGGTACCTAATAATAAAAACACAAAAGCAGTGAAAATACATGTGGCTTTACAGTTGTATCTCCAGAAAAAAACTAGAAAATGTCTACACAAACCTACGTTTTCCTGCTGCATTTATTTCTTAGGGAAAAATGAAAATTTGTAGATGTTATGATCAAGCTGGAAATGTATTAAAAACAGATAAAACAATGCCCAAGGGCAATGAAAAATGCCCAAGGAGCAGCTCAGCATTATCATGGCTTTAAAGTGCCATTGTATTGTGAGCCATTTAAAACCGAAGGCCAGCCAGTAACCTGCTGTATCAGGCCGGGGCCCAGGCCCTGCCCCTGTGTATGCAAAAGAGTGAATGACATTGATCTATGCCTCTGAGGAGCCATTCTTCAGACTTTAATACACTGGCAGTGCAGTTAATCTACTGTTGTTTTTCAAATGGGCTCGGCCATTGTGAGAGGTAGTGAAAGAGGGGGACAATGGCCCCTCGATGAATCAGGACACAAAAAGAGGGCGTCCCTTTTAAACAGCTCCTCCAGAATGACGCTTTCAGCCAGGGCATTGATCAAGGGGGCTAGAGCAGACATACTGTATGAGCACACACTCTTTCTCTGCCCCCTTCAGCCTCTTTGGCTCCTCTTGAAGCTTTGTACACAAAATAATTGAGTGAAAGCCTTTTCTTGCCAAGAGAATTCTATGTACATTCTTTGCAGCCTTATATTGAGTCTTTTGGGGTAACAAAAGAAAACACTGGACAAACATACACATGAGCACTTTCAGCAAAGCCACCGCTATCAACTTGAGCAAAAAGAAAGGTAACAAATCATAAAACGTAAAAAATGTGATGTTCACTCAGGACCGGTAAATCAAAATAAGCTTCAAAGACCAGTTCAAAGAGAAAAGAAATTAATTCTTTATGTTCTTTGCACTTCTAGGCTGGACTGAATCATTTAGTTGGAGAAACAGAACGATTAAGCTGTAATGTGCATCAGCCTAAAGGCACAGAAACACCCATCTTTGGAGTCATAAATTACCCTTATTAACCCACCAGGGGGCTAATTAATGGTTATTACTTGTGATTAGGAATTATCAGCATGTGTTAAATACCATGACCACATGACCAGAGAAACTCTGGTCAACATCAAAAGAATTTTTGGCTCTCAAGTCTCATTTCTTGTGTGTTACATCAGAAAAAAAGCACAAGGTTTGTGGTCACATTGTTTACCATCTTACAAACATCCCCCAAATACCGCACACTCCCACTAAAGTATTGTTCCCTATGCCAGTGTTAGCTCTGGCAACCCTAAGACTCTTTCCACAAAGCTACTAGTCCCACTTACACGACTTCCACTTACTCTACATGTAGTAGGTGAGAATGGGTCTTGGTATTAGTGAGAAGAGGGAAATAGCCCAGGGCATTAGGACGTGCATATCTCAGGGTAAGAGGCTAGAGTGACTGCTCCGGCACTCAGTGGCCCTCATAAGAAGCTTGGTGGAAGTAGGCCCTGCTCAATGCTCCACTCTGCAACCTGGTGACAAAGGCACCTTGAGCGGGGATTTTCTCTCTTCTGCTCTCTCTAATTCCCCATCTCCTCATTTGCCTGCCAGAGGAGGCACACGCAGCGCTCGACACAGCTGAGGCAAGTGGGGGCTGGGAAGTCATTTCATATTTCTCCAAAGAGTTCCCCTAAGAGTGAATGGGCGGTGTAAAGCAGGACATTTAAGAAGGAGGACAGCTCCAACTGTGGCTGAAGGACCAAGCTACTGTCTGGCATGGAGGTGTACATACATGAGAAGATACAAAATGCGATGCTGTGGCTGCAATATGCCCTCGCAATGCATCTGAAATGAACACTCAGTATAATAAAGTAGCTAATCAAGCAAATTGCACATAGGTCCACCTACTAATGCACTATATGCTCGTGAGGTGCAGTCAAACAGTGGTGCCTTTAGCAAGCTCAGGGGAAAATGCACGTTCAGTGACCAAGAGATAGCAATGTTAATATATGAAGTTCTTTCCCAGCAAAATGTTTTACTCCTGCCCAATGAAATAACACAGAAAGTCATTAGGTACATTTGGAGCAGTTCTGAGAGTTGAAACAGTGTTGTTCTGTTATTTTACAGTACTGTGCAAAAACCAAAATCCTTATGTATCTAATTTCCAGTTAAAATTGCCATTAAATACAGGTATTCATTTTTCAGTGTCTAGAAAAAAAAGTAGAGAACATATTTGACAGAAAATAACATAGAAGCTTCACAAACTAAATACACACACATTTTCTAAGCCACTTATCCTTCTGGGTCGCAGGGGGGAGCTGGAGCCTATCCCATTGGTCAATGGGCAAAAGGCAGGATACATCCTGGACAGGTCGCCAGTCCATCGCAGGGCACAAATTAAATATGATTTCAGTTTTTTCAGTATTTAGAGTGTCCACTCTTTGCCTTTATTTCAGCTTCCATTCTTTTTTGAGAGACTTGCTTTCAATTTTTGAAAGAAATCTGCAGGCATATTCCAAAGTTCAGTCTTAGAAGCTGGTTGCATTTTCTGCTTTTTACAATCCAAGTAATCCCAAACACATTCAGTGATATTGTGGTCTGGACTCTGGGGTGGCCAGACAATGTTCTGAGGGCACAAGCAGCTCCTCTGTTTAATTTGTAAATATTCTTTTCCCAGCAAAAGCTTCTTGACAGCTACACATCCTTTCACAACCACAGTGTGAATTGTCTTCTCACAGTGGAAAGATGCTCAGATTTGATCAGATCTGAAGCAACAATGGAACTTGATTTTCTCTCTCAAAGATGATAGTTTAACTACTGTTTATCTACTACACAGTGAAAAAAGTGCACAATTAACCTCATACGCCAGTTTCATACATAACACACATACTTTTTTGGCCTTCTTTGGCACCTGAGAAGCCTTAGCATGTCTGGCTCTTGGCATTGATAGACAAGAAGTGGAAAAATTCAATATACCCTCAATCAGCTGGCCAAGCAGAGTGAAGTGAGGGGAAGACAAGGAAGAAAGCAAAAATGAAAGACAAATCTGATTGTTCTGTGCGTTTCCACCTGAGAGATGGCAGTCGAGGCCAGCTGAGGTACGCTCCAGCACCCTCCACTCTCATCCAGTATCAATCAGCCAGGTCGTCCTATCAATTCCTCCCTCGCTCTCGCTCTCTGCAGCCACTGGATGGGGACTATATGTCTTCCTAGGATTACCGTGCATGGGTGGGGGTTAGTGGGCAGTGGGCACGCGGAACGTTGAGGAGTAAAACCTGGCTAACGTGATTGAATTTCACAGCAAAAAAGTAGAACATAGCAGTGGCTGAGAGGCGTAAAAAAGCCCCACATCAATCTCTGTGGCTGTGTGTAGACGGCTCATGGGCTGGCGGGCTAGGGCACAGCGAACCTGGCCTGGCCACTGCTGGGGTGATGTTAGGGGCAGGGCAAATACAGGGGTGTGAGGTCACAGCATGATAGGGGATAGTAAAAACAGGCCCCTCTCTAGGAATGCCTTCTGCAAACCTGATTTTACTGCACCCATATGTTACGGATGGATTGAGTAATGGGGGGAGTGTGCAGATGCACACACACACACACACACACACACACATACACAAATACACAGTCATGCCTCACCATTTATGTAAGGCTTTTCTTTTGTCGGATGTTCCCATTCTGCCTGTCTTGTTAGGATCAAGCAGAGGACTATTGGCTCCAGATTCTTCTGGGATCAATCGAGGCTCATATGATTCCCCAACAGGGGAGCTGACATTTGTGGCCTGGATGTCTTGTATCCAGACCCGATCAAAGAGTGTCAGACCAGACAGGGGAAGTGAAGACAGCACTGTGTCTGTCTGCGTGGAGCATGTGGAAGGACTAATATCATCCTGCTCTTACTCTCTGGCTATTTATCAAACGTATATCCAGTGTCATGCTTCCTGAATATGAATAAGTTGTATGCAAACGTTTGGACAGCCCTGGTCAAATGACATGTTTTGTTGATTTTCTAAGGAAAAATAAGTTTAGACATCCTCTACAGACCACACTTCTTCACATTTTAAAGCACAGTTACTGTTTCTTTTCTGAATTTAACATATTGGAAAAAAAAAATGGCATATACAAAGATCATGGCACATTTATGATGTTAGGTTATTATTTTCCAATAGTTACATTTAACAGACAAATGCCATGTTTAAGTTTGTTTACTGTGGAGGATGTACGTACTTTCACAATTACTTTTGCTTTTGCATGCAACAGCCATTTCCACATGATTAACACACAATTTTGTCCTTCATTTTATTTACTTTTGGCTTTAATTGGGCTGTGATGCATTCCATGCATATTGAAAGTGTATACATTTGAATCAAGTAAATTCAATGCATTACTTTTTTACCTTTAAATGGAATTTCACAGATTTTTTTTCAATATTTCTGCTTAAGTTATGGCACGTTATATTTTATACTTTTTCCAGCATGTTATTTTAACCAAATAAATATAATTTGAGCTCTAAAATTTGCAGAAAAAATACAATTTTAAGTTCCCTTTAGGGGATGCACTAACTTATTTTAATTTAGTAATTCAGCAAAATATTTAAAGTCCAACGTTTGCACACAACTATTGCACAACAACCAAATATAACAGTATTGCTTTATTTCTGCTTAGCTTACGGACTTTGACATAGAAACTTTAAGCATGACTTTCATATAATAATCAATTTAATGTCCCCAAAACTGCACAAAACAGACACTTTAAAAGTGAATTCCACTGATTTTTAATATTTCTGCATATGTAAATGCTTAAGATGTAAACAAAGCCATTAACAGTGGCTTGGCATGAAATGCTCTGTTCGAGTGTCTGAAGTGTTAAATGTCTCTAAACGCTACCTCACATACAGCTATTATAAGAAATTATTATTATTATGCTGCCTGATGCAAGATTTTGGCCATGCAGGGCTCTGTAACGGTTTCTGATTTACCACTATTTTACTGTAATAAACATTCCATATAAAAACTCAGAGGACATGTGTAGGTTCACTATTTGTTTCAGACAGCAAATGAAAGGACTATATCTGCACTGTAGTCATCAGCACCACTGTAAAGAAATCTGAGTTGCTAATTTTCTCTGCAACAAACCATCTCACATGAAAACACTCTGAATGACTTTGTTTACATTTTAATGGTTAAATTATGGTTAAATTATGCCGAAACTTTGAATAAGTAGAATCTAAATTAAGGACAATTCCATTTTAGTTATTGGTCTGATTAAACTTTAAAAAAAAAAGCAAAAAATTACATAGAAAATCTTTCATTTCTTCAGCACTTCTTTACCCTAAGTCTCTCTGACGTACTGTAATCAATGGGGAACTCTCCATGCTGTCACTACTGTGGACCAAAGATATAATTTCTCTGTCCTCTGAGCAGCTGGGGAATGGCTGAACTGTCACTGCTCACGGAATTCAGCTTAAATCTCCATCTGCTGGTAACAGCGCAGTCATGTTTCTAGAGCAGTGAAGGGGAAGACAGGTAGTCACGTTGTATGACCTGGAAGCACTTAGCCCTGTGGTTAGTCAGATATGGATCGCTTCCCTTCATTTGTCCTGCGGGGCTGTAACACAGCTGTAGCTCGAGAAACAGTAATTACTCAGTGACAGTGGCTGATGATAAAGAGGAGATAAGCAAACATAAGCTACTGCTCAGTACCACCAATATCCTCCCTTACCCTTTCACTACCCTGTGTCTTTCTTCAGAAACCCCCCACCCCCCCAGCATCTCTCTCTCTCTCTCTCTCTCTCTGACATCTGGATACTGTGTCAGCGCAGCTGTGCTCAAGTGGGTTGACACTCAGGCCATGGGGTCTGCCAAAAGGCAAGAGGGTCAGACACCTTCTCCACCACAAAAGCAATGACCCCAGCGCACTGGCATGTCCATCTGAGCCTGTGCTGGCCATAGACTCACAACGCACACACATAAACGACCGTCAGTACAGTTGTATGCAAAAGTTAAGGCGCCCCAAGCCAAGTTAAATGTTTTTTTGATTTTCTATGTGAAAATAAGTAGAAACATCCTCTACAGAGACATTTTGAGTTTGTTTGCTGAGTTTAACATATTGGGAAAAAAATATAAAACATGAAATGCAGCCTGTGCAAAAGTTATGGCACATTTAATGTTGTATGTTTTGTTTTCTCCCAGTATGTTAAACTTATTGGGAATTTTGTACTAAGCAAAAAAATAGAAAATGTGCATTAATTTAGTTCTCTGTAGAGGATGTGCTTCCTTATTTTCACTTAGAAAATCAACAAAACATGCAAATTGCAAACAGTACAAGCTCCCAACAGCCAATATGGTGGGATAGGGTGAAGTTGAAACAACAAACATAAAAGCATTGGGCTCCTTCTGCTCAGCTTGTTTCGATAGGGAAACTTTATGTATGACTTTGATAGACTAATCAAGGTAATGTCCCATAAAACGCGCCACAACCGTTGAGTTAAATAAAACTGCAGTTATGATTGAATCAACAGCTTCCACGTGATATTATTTAGCCAGAGAGCATGCAAAACATCAAAAAGCAAGTCAAAAGGCGAGCCCTTCACTTAGCACTAATGTTTGCCCACTTGTCTAATTTGCATCAGTTGCAGCAAAACACACAATAGGGCCAAATGCCCCATGGGGAGCTTTTCATTGGCAGGATATTCGGGTTGAGCCTCTAGTGTGGTGGGATCTGTAACATGGCCAAACAAAACTCTCTCTGCTAAACAGATCCGATCCAACTGCTATTGCTGAATGTTGCAGTGATATAGCACAGAACAAGCACCACAGATATTCTCCCTGAGTCATCTTTCCAACCAAAAGCATTCTATTTTGACTAAACGGTCCCTAAAACAATCCGTAACCTGCGGTTCAGAATCAGTGTAGGATTTGTGAAAGAGTTCTCAGAAATGTTTTTTTTGCTTCAAACCACGTGGCATCAACCGTAATTTTATGTGAGTGGGTGTAAGGCCCAGGAGACTAAGGACGAATGAAAGTTGGCTGGAACCTAATTTAGTCAGAGAAATAAAAGGGGGCTGAGGAGCGAAGGGGACAGCTGCAGTTTAATTGCGGAATTTGGTAATTATGACAGTCTGCATTTTTTCTCTACTGTGTGCCCAACATCAGACACTCTGAAATAAAATCCTTCTAAGTGAACAGTTTGGCAGACGATGGGAAACACTGTACCATCTAATAAACTTGCCCTCTTTTCCTATAAAATGTGGAAACCTATACGTAATGTCCAGTACTGTATCACGACCTTGTAAGACTAAAGGTTTCCAGGCCAAAATGCAGAGGTGTCAGAGAGGGGAAGCCACACAGCTGAGGTTAGCAGTCATGTTTTTCTTTTTTCTTTCTTTTTTTTTTCACTAGCTCTTGATTGATTAATGTTGCTTGTGGAGAAGGGCTTCCCAAGAGAGCGTGAGGGATCCTCTCTGATATGCAGCAAATTTTACAAGGAGCAGCGGTGGGCTTGAAAGTGGTGGGAAGAAAAGATCCCAGCCAAAAGCTGGAGTGAGAAATCCATCAGGAATGCACTCCTGCTCATTTCATCCCCCTCCCCTCGCCCACCACAGCTGTTGCTATAACTCTACTGTAGATTTTTCCCCCCGCTCGCTGTCCATACAGCCGGGGAACTGTCAAACACCACTGGAGAGAGAGGAGGTTTCCTAGCACAGCTGAGATTCAGCAAAGGTCAATCAAGTGGAGATAAACGGTCCACTAGCATCATTAATGTGCATTGGTAGATGAGCATAAAGAGCTTTCGTAAAATGGTAAAGAGCTGTGATCAAAGTCACTAACCGGACATAAAAAAAATCAAGGACGCTGCTCTCAACACTTCTTTTCTCCTTTTTAAAGTTTCTTATTCAGCAATTAAGTTACCCGCTGTTGAACGTCAGCCTCCAAAAGTGATGAAAAGAGCAGCGGCTAGTGTAAGAGCATGTTAAAAGATGAAGGGAGGCTTTAGTGAACTAGATGCCTGCTCATGTTTCTGCTTTCTGAAGTAAGGCTGGCACACAGGCCTGGTGTGTTTTTTCTACAGTGCTCTTTGAGATGAATATGTACATTACACCCAGTACCAAGCTGAGAACCACAGCTGTGCAGATCTAGTGACCTCCACACTCTTACTCTGCTCTCAGTGTGAAAGTCATCCCTACTGTGAAAGTCCTTATAAAGAGGGACAATCAGCCAAAATACTAAAGAATATCATATCTTACAAAAACACAGATGGAAACCACTGATGGAAACCCAACAGGCACATACAGGGACAGTCTACCAGAAAAAGAGAAATGGAAGAGCAGCGGGGTACCTGTACTCGGGCCTCGGTCAATTTGGTCCTCTGGGCTAGCTCCTCTCGGGTGTAGATGTCGGGGTAGTGTGTCCTCTCGAAGGCCTTCTCAAGCTCCTCCAGCTGCTCGGCAGTGAAGGTGGTGCGGCTGCGCCTCTGTTTCCTCTTCAGCGGCAGGTCCGGCTCCGAGTCCACATCCGAGAGCTCATCCGCACGGCCCCCTGTTACAGCCAAAAAGAACAAGAACTGAGATGGTAGGAGTCACTGTGGACATTTCAGTTGTAGATGATGACAATATAATGTAAAAAAAAAAGCCAAAACTGAAAAGATACAGGCAAAAACACACCTTTAACTCAAAAAGGAACTTTATATTGTGACATTGTACCTTCCATATTTGCTTATCTTAGCAACTAATGATGTATAGATAGCATTTTCCAACAGTCCTTCCTTAAGGCAACATGAAATCTCCACCATAACAAATGAAAGGCATATAATTAAATATGATTTTCTTTGTTTTCTCAATTTCAGCACTTTTGAGCCAAGACTTTCTATTCATTACTCTACCTCATGGCTAGGCTACTGATGGCTAACATTAGATGACTTAACTAGCTGGCTAGCATGCTCTTGAATGCCATTTATGTCAGATTTATCACCAAAACATTCACTTTGCTTAGAAACTCTATCACACGCTGACACAGACTAAGTTAACGATCCTCAAATTTATGTCAGAACATTGCTTTAAAAATTAAAAGGAAAGTCCAAAAGGAAGGGCTAGCAAACATTACACAAGCTTGTTTGCTAACTACAGAGCTACTTACCCTGACTTTAGATAATGATAATACTTTAAGTTCTATATTTATCTGTCTAAAGTAATATTGTACCTAACATTATCAAATTACCAAGTTAGTAAGAATATATTTAAATTTACCACCACAATCAAAAAGTATCTACAATGACAATTCAGTTCTCCATTAAACTTGTTAGACTAGCAAGTCCTATACATGTAGCTATAGATGTAGCCCTGCTACAGTCAACCAGCCCAGCATTTTATACATGCTTCAAAATATGGACAAATAACAGTGGAATGCTGCAAACTGTGCAGAAACAGCCTATAAATAGTGATTATTTTACTGTGTAAAACACAGTTAATGCAAGCGTGTGATGATTTCATCATGCACGATCATAACCCAAAACTATAGACTCTGAAGATATTTCTGATTCTGTACTCAAATCATGCCCACATTAGTCCCTTTTGGGGAAAATGAAAGGTGTTTTAGAAAATCGCTGCTGTAGCACCCTGCAGGAGATAAAACGTGTACATTGTCGATCCGAATGTTACCGGATTTTCTAAATTATGAGGATGCTAAGGATGTTTGTTCAGTCAAAACATGAATATTGCTACATCCATACTCCTGTCCATGAAAGAGACGTATCATGATAATAAGTCTACCACTTATTAATAACACTATTCTATGATAACATCAGCTACTGAAGCTGTAGGCTACTACTGTCAAAGCAAATTCACTACCAGATTTGATGAAGCTTACTGGTTTGCGTGAGGTATTTTAGTGAGGTTGCCAGTCTTATTATGTCATTTCAATGTGCAGCAGTGCTTGTAGAAATACTTGTCATTCATTTTCCCATAGAGAAACCCAGCTTAGACTCCTGGGTATAATACCAACCACACAGTGACGACACGATTTCAGAGGTCTATAAGCGAACGGCTGTTAGGTACATTAGCCTTGCTTTAAGGCAAATGAAAGATGCAAACATATCCATTACATTTGCGGTGAGGTGACAATTGTGTAATTTTGATTTCTGGCAATACTAAAAATCGATACAATAGTGCCATGTAGCAGTCCCAAGCAGCTCCAACATATTTCTTACCAGCCAGCCTTAATGAACAGCTTCATAATCATATAATTTCCTCATGTCAGATTTCAAAGCAGTGGGGGGATGCTGGGAATGTAGCGAGAGGGAGGATGGACGACAAGGAAACTGAAATGATAACGGCTTCATGTGGCTCTCAAGCAAATATTATTGCAATGTGTGGTTATTTATATGAGAAAGGCTTTTTGTAAATGCAATCCTGCGTATGTACACATCCCAACTGGCCCTGAGGCCATGGAGTATGTGGGGAGAGTTAATCTTAGCAGACCACCTTAGAGATCCATGTAGCACTATTCTTCTGCAAAGAGCCAGGGGCACTGAAACAAAACTGGCACTGCCTAAATATTTGCAGTATATTATTGTGTTTGTTTCATTAAAGCGGCCGCACAATATGTCCTCACTGCTTTTAAAGCACTGACAGCAGATTATCTGTCAAACGCAGCTATCCATGTCAATTACAGATAACGCTCCATCGCTATTCGGTGGCTTGTTGGAGGAGCGCTTTGAAATGGAAGAGAGAATGAGACCAAATCAGTCAACTGATAGAAACAAGACGAGTGTGGGTGGTTATTCGAGGATGGGTTGAATATACAAGAAATTACAAATTAGCATATCGTTCATATGGGTGACAATAGCCGCATTTGAAAGTCTTTATTTGTTTCATCTGTATTTACCTCTGCTGTCTGCTGCTATTTACTTCTGATGTCCACGTGTTTATTAATGGGATGTTTTTCAAGGTGCTTTCCAGGTTTTAGGAAAAGTGAGGCGGGCAAACACTCTGGTAACAAAGCACACTAGTGTTGGCAGTTAAATACAGGAGGAACAGCTCCACCAGTGGCTCCCTCAAAGATAAATCTACTTTCTCTCCATTCTTTAGGGCACATCAGGAGCTTCCAACCATCCCACAGAAGGCAGAAAAGGTCTTAGAGCCCATCTTTATCATTTCATTTGAGTTTATTCCTTATTTATTTCCAGTTCGGGCAGCGCTGGGCTGATCCTCTGAAAATCCCCCTGGCAGCATCGGGGGCCCAGCGCTGCAGACGCAGGCCTTAATCCAGGCCATGACTCCCCCCTCCCAAATTTAAGCCATTCCACATTAGGGACGGCTGAACCCCGGCTCCTTATTGGCCAGCGCTGGCGGGGGCTTCCTGGGTTGCCTCTTCTGGGTGGGGGGGCCTGATCTGCTCCACGGCAAGCAGGCTGACCTGTATCGCACCCACTTCTCCACTCTGCTCTGCTTGGCCCTGGGCCTACGGCTCATCCCTCTCTCATTCTATCTCTTTCTCTCCCTGTGTCTCTTTCTCCCAGCCCAGAAGCCGCGAGTGACACGCCTCTACTTTAATGACGGTTATTATTTTCGCCGCTCTTTGTGCCGGAGTTCGGCGTGGAAATGCCCAGCAGGAGAAGGGTTCGGCGGAGGGCTAGATTAGGGTTTAAAGGAGCCATCTGCCCATAAGCTGCAGGCAAAACGATTGTGCCGAATGATACAGTTTAATTAATCTGGGACAGGAACGGATGGCTCTGACCTTGCCTGGCTCTTCCTGCTTAGCGGCAGTGGACTGGATGGACTGCAGAGAGCAGGAACTGCATTCAAACGTAGTCATTATTGTGACCCTTTCACCCTTACAAAAAAACAACAGATAATTAAAAAAAACGGTAACATTAAAGAGCAGCTTCTTACTTGATATAATTAGAGCAACCTGTCAGTACAAAATGAACTGGCTTTTCTGGCTGGATGCAATGCGAGAGGGATTTGCGAGGTATTTCAGGGATGATGATGACAGCAGCTCCTGTTCACTCCTGTTCTGATTCTGAGCTTGCACTGCCAGAGGGGACAGCAGACAGGTGAGAGTGAGGTTGAGCAGTGTCGGAGAAATACAGATAAAATGGCCAATGTTTAGCTCGGGAAGGACAGCTCCAGTGCTGCAGGGCCACAGCGTAACATAGTTAGTATTCTCCCCCCTCTGACCCATCACATCAACTAATTATCGAGCCTTTACTGAGTAAGATAAAGCAGAGAAAACACTAAAGTGTGCAGTCTGGCCCTCTGTGGCCTCAGTTCTAGGAGTGTGACCCTCTTGTGTTCTCGTTGTTGGTGATTTGAAACTGCGTCCATGTCACGATTAAGGTTGCACAGATTTGTTGATGTGGTTTAGGACACAGTATGACTCACCATAAACTATAACAATGAACAAAACCTTGACGTGTAGCTGAACGCTGCAGGCTGCCTCTTCAGACAACAGGGTTTGTATTCACAAACCACCTCAGGAGTCGGACTGCTGATCTAGAATCAGTTTTTGTGACAATGACCGTCATAAATTTAGAGGAATCTGACCCCAGATCAGGCCTGTAATTTAGGACTGCTTTGTGAATACCAGCCCTGGTGTTGTCTGAAATGGCTGCCTATAGTAGTGAAGTTTGGATCATTTTTATAGTAAGTCATAATGTGCCATAATGAGTCTGTGTGACCTTAATGAAGACCTGGATGCATTTTGAGCAGGTTAAGAGAAGTTTTGGCAGAGTATTTTAGGGAAACAATATGGGGCTATTTGGGTGACTACTGAGTTTCTAGTGTTTGTTAGCAATGTTAGCAGTGTAGCTTTAGGTTTATACTAAAGAAGGAAATTTGAACACCTGAACATGCCTTGGCTATAGGCATAAATTAGATTTTTTGCCAAACTATTCCTTGGCCTTTCCAATAGTTATTGATTAAAGACTTTTTGTCAAATGACTGCCAATTCAAAGATTGGTTCTGCTGATCCAAGCCACAAAAATGCTCATCGGTGCTCTTCTCAGATGGTTCTTGGCCTGGTAATAGGTCATTTGATTGGTATAGAACCTTTTTATTAAGTGGAGGCTCTACACTTGCGCATGGTTCAAGAACGATCAATTGAAAGGTTTTTAGGGAACCAGTTGTGGTTCTTTCTATCTCTTTTCTGGGACGATATGTTTAAGAATGTGTATGCTTATTCTGACGCTCTGTTATCACACTGGTGTAGTCACAACAGCGCTCAGAAAATTCAAGGGCAACCCCAGATTATGAGACTCATATGTGCTAGTCTTTGTTTGTTTGTATGTTTCTATGTGGAGAGCCTATGTGGAAACAGGCCGGGAAAAAACAAAGTTCCAAGCGCCGTCTAAATAAAAGAGCAACAATGAGGGAGACGTCAAAGTGGCTGCGACTTCAGGCCAGCGCCGCAGTTTAATTAAACAAGGAATTACGGGATTACACAGAGACTCTCATTACAGGCCACTTGAGGAGTCTTCTGGTGGCTGTCTTTTTGTCTCCCAGAGCTCACGCTCCACAGTTCTCAGCGGATTACATGTGGCC